TGAGCCACAGTGCCCAGCCCCCTTCCACTTTTTAAGCAACAGTAATGAAACTTATTAAGTTTGGGCTTTCACGATTTGGAGGCTGGGAAGTCCAAGGTCAAGGTGCTGGCATATTCCTTTTTTGGTGAGGGCCCTTTCCTGGCTTTCAGACTATTCCCTTCTCAGTGTATCCTCACATGTCAGGGAAAGGGAGCTTTGGTGTTTCCTTCTCTTCCTATAAGGGTGCTAATCCCAATTGGGGGTTCCACCCTTATGACCTTATCTAAACCTAATAACTTCCCAAAGGTCCCACCTCCTAACACAATCACATTGCAGGTTGGACTTCGACATGTATGTTTGGCGGGGGACAGAAACATAGTCTATAACTGGTGTTTTCATAAAAAGCCCATATATCAAATAGTAGTGCAGTGCACAGTAAATAAGTACCCATGGGCATTCAGACTAGAGAAACACTGTTGAGGTGAGATAGCTAGTGAGGTAGAAAGACAGACAATGTGTTATTCATTTTTGTATCTGGCATAATCTGTTGAGGCTGCTGTATCAAAATACCATACATGGATTAGCTTATACACAACAAATTTATTGATCAAAGTTCTAGAGGCCAGGAAGTCCAAGATCAGGATATTAACAGGTTTGATGTATGGTGAGGACTTACCCTCTGCTTCATAGATGGCACCATCTTGCAGCCTTCTTACTTGACAGAAGGGGTAAACAAGTTCCTTTGGGCCGCTATTATATGGCACTAATTCCATTCATGAAGGCTCCATCCTCATGAAATAGTTGCCTCCCAAAAGGCCGTAATTCTTAATACTATCATGTTGGGATTAGGTTTCAAAATAAATTTGGGGGAGGCATAAACATTCAGACCACAGTAGTATTTTTTTTCTTTTTCTTTTTTTTTGAGACAGAGTCTACTCTGTAGCCCAGACTGGAGTGCAGTGGCAAGATCTCAGCTCATTGCAACCTCCGCCTCCTGGGTCCTGGTTCAAGCAATTCTCCTGCCTCAGCCTCTTGAGTAGCTGGGATTACAGTCACATGCCATCATGCCCAGCTATTTTTTTTTATTTTTAGTAGAGACGGGGTTTCACCATGTTGGCCGGGCTGGTCTTGAACTCCTGATTTCATGATCCATCTGCCCCAGCCTCCCAAAGTACTGGGATTACAGGCATGAGCCACCGCACCCAGCCAATGGTAGTATTCTTAGTGCTGAGTACAGTATCTGAAATGAAGTAGGCATTCAAGAAAGGGACATGGATGAACCTGGAAACCATCATTCTCAGCAAACTGACACAAGAACAGAAAATCAAACACTGCATGTTCTCACTCATAGGCGGGTGTTGAACAATGAGAACACACAGACACAAGGAGGGGAACATCACACACTGGGGTCTGTTGGGGGGAAATAGGGTAGGGACAGCGGGGGTGGGGAGTTGGGGAGAGATAGCATGGGGAGAAATGCCAGATATAGGTGAAGGGGAGGAAGGCAGCAAATCACGCTGCCATGTGTGTACCTATGCAACAATCTTGCATGTTCTTCACATGTACCCCAAAACCTACAATGCAATTTAAAAAAAAAAAGAGCCAGATATAGGTGATGGGGAGGAAGGCAGCAAATCACACTGCCACATGTGTACCTATACAACAATCTTGCATGATCTTCAATGTACCCCAAAACCTAAAATGCAATAAAAAAAATAAAAAAAAGAAAGGTATGCTAAAATGGAAGAATGAAAAATCACAGAAATAGATATTTTGAGTTGGCAGGTATCCTAGAGATCAGGTAGTCCAAGTTGCCCAGACCAGTTCAACTCCACTAGGAACATTAAAATAACACAAAGCCATTTTACTCTCATTAAATTGCCAAAAAAAAAGTCTGATAATACCAGCCGTCATTTTCTGTTGAGACTGTAAATAGGTAAATTATGTTGGAGAGCAAATTGACATCATTAACTGAAGTTAAAGATAGCTATATCCTGTGATTGTAACAAATCTCACTTAATATACAGACTCCAGAGAATTTCTCAACTGTGTGATGGATTGTATTAGTTTTCTGGGGCTGCCAAAACAAACAAACATAAACTTCGTTCTTAAAAACATATACGTTGATTATCTCATAGTTCTGGAAGCCAGAAATCTGAAATGAAGGTATCGGTAAGGCTCCCCTCCCTGCGATGACTCTAGGAAAGAATCCTTTCTTTCCTCTTAATTTTGGGTGGATCCAGAGATTCCTTGGCTTCTGGCTGCGTAACTCCAATCTTCCTACTTCGTATAGTCTTCTGCTTTTCCTAGTATAACTCGTCTCTGTGTGTCTTTTATAAGTTTACTTGTCACTGGATTTAGAATCATTCAGATAATCTAGGACTGTTCTCATTTTGAGATTCTTAATTATATTGCAAAGATCCTTTTTCCAAGGAAGCTCATGTTTACAGGTTCCATGAGTTTGAATATGGACATATTTTTTTGGTGGCCACCATTCAACCCACTATTTCAACAAGTATTTAAAGCAGTGGTCTGTACCAAAACTAACTCCGACCTCCCTGTCATTTGTTCTGGTCTTCTAGTTCCTTGTAGGTCACAGGTTATCTCATTGCTACTTCAGTAATCAAAAATTTGAGGGAAAAGTGATAGTAGCTTTATTTCATTACTTACACATTTCTTGAGACTAGTTTTATGGTCTGGCATATAGTCTGTTTTGGCTAGTGTTCCAGGCTAATGTTCTAGTCGTTATGCTTGGAAAAAAAAAAGATTTGGTCTATATTTGGTTAAAGCATTTCGTAAACATCATTTAGGTCAAGTCAGTTAGTAGTGGTATTCAAGTCTCCTATTTTTTAAAAAATTATTTTTTTGTCTACTTATTCTACCAATTATTGAAGAGGCACAGTGAAATCCCCGATTGTTATTATGGATTCATCTACTTCTCCTTTAGTTCTATCAGTTTTTGCTTCATGATTTGAAACACCGTTGTCATATACACATGGACGGTTTTGTCTTCTTTATTAAATGATCATTACATAATCACAGAATGTAATTCTTTATCTTTGGCCATATTCATTACCCTGACTTCTATATTATGTAATTTTTAGCTACTCTAGCTTTTTTATTATTACTATTTGTGTGGTAGTAATTTTGTATCCTTTTACATTTAAACCATTTTTATCTTTATATTAAAGTGAATCAGGTAGACAGCATATATTTGGGTAATTTTTTAATGCTTTCTGAAAATGTCTGCCTTTTAATTGATATGGTTAATCCATTTACATTCAATACAGTGGGCCCTTTATATCTGCAGTTTTCACATCTGGAGTCTCAACCAACAGAGAATTAGTAGATGTAGAACCTGTGGATATGGAGGGTTGACTGTAAGGGACGATGGTATTTATTAATATGGCTATATGGCTATATTTATATCTACTT